CGGGCGGGGCGGCGCCTACCCAGGCTCTGCAGCACCTGGTCCCGCTCCAGCTGGGTGTCCCGGATCTTGTGCTGCAGCGTCAGCAGCTTCTCCTCGTACTGGCGCTTCAGCGTCTGCAGCCGCTTCTGGCTGTTCTCCAGCTCGTCGATCAGCTTCTGCTTGATGGCGATCTCGCACGTGATGCTGGCCAGGTCCGCGCGGTAGTCGGCTGGGGGGGCGGGCACTGAGGCCGGGCTCTGCCGTCGCCCCGCCCCCGCGCGCGCGAGGCCGCGTCCACCCCGCGGCCGGACAGAGGCCACCCCCCCACCCGTGCGCCAAACCGCGGGGTCCTCTCTCCCGCCCGCGGGGCCGCGGTGGCTCTTTGTACCTTTCTCGTCCGACTCCGAGTCGGATTCATCGGAGCTCTCGGCCCCGTCCAGCTCCTCGTCCTCGTCCTCGTCCTCGTCCTCGGCCTCGGCCTCGGCCTCGTCCTCCTGCTGGCTCGCGTCCTGGCCTTCCTCCTGGACGGCGACGGGCAGCGTCAGCACTGGTTCGGCCGCGGCCCGGAGTCTGCGCGGGCACAGGCGCGGGCCCAGCCTCACCGCCTCCAGCTGGCCGGCCGCCCTCTCCGTGTCCCCGGTCTTCTCGGGGCTGGCGTCCCCGCCGTCCTCCCTGGCGGCCACACTGTGGGGAGGAGCAGAGGCTGGGGGCGCGGCCCGCTCTGCCCAGGCAAAGCCAGGCCCCAGCGACAGCCGCCTGGCGCGACTCTGCCGCCCACGCACCGTGGCGGCCCCTGGCGAGGGAGGGCTTCCTCCCGGACAGGGAGCCAGGCCCCTCGGGCTCCCTGGCTGGCGCTGCCCCCGCGGCCGCCCACCCTGCCACCCGACGGCCACCACGCAGCCATCTGCACCAGTGACCCCACTGGCACCTCACGAAGTCCACACAGACACGCCGTACACAGCCTGGTCCTGGCACCCGTGATGCCTGCCTGGCCCGCGGCCAGTGACCTTGGCCCTGACCCCCAGGGGACCAGCGGGCCGTGGTGGGCGCTAAGAGTCTACGGTGAGTCCGGTGGACATCTTTAGGTCACCGCAGGGCACTGGGACATGGTGCGGGGCGTCCCCAGAGACGCCAGGTGCAGGGACGGCGGAGGCAAAGGGCACATGCCCAGGCCCTTCCCGCCTCCGAGCAGGCATGGAGCTGCTGCCCCTCCTGGACACGGCTCTCGCCGGGGAGCACCTCTCATGCCCAGGGAGCACCTCTCGAGCCAGGCACACACAGCCTGCTCCAGCCATATGGTCACGGTGGGAGCACAGGGCTGCCCACCCACCCCAGCCGTGGGTCAGCAGTGGCGGTGAGCTCTGCCCTCTGCCGTCAGCTGCGTGCACCTCTAGCCCGAGCGGACTCCTCATCCCCCAGAGAACAAGGCCCCTGGCCTCTAAGTCAGCTGGGCAGCCGCAAGCATGCGGGAGGCCCGCACAGGCCAGGAGTCGGGGCGGAGGCCCAGGCCAGGCCCTCACCCTGACCGCAGCGTCAGCTCTGCTGGGGCACCGGGGAGAGCCTGTGGCAGGAAGTGGGGCCCTGGGCCCTGCACGCGCTGTGGCTGCGGCGTGGCGTCAAGGCTGGCGGGGTCCCCAGCGTTCCGGCTTCCGGGGTGCGGGCCTCCCTTCCTGACCCCTGAGGACGAGGTTCCCTGTCACCCAGAGGCCCACGGCGGTGGGGGCTCTGGAGGGCTGGGGACAGCCGGGCCCTGCTGGGGCCGGAGAAGCGCACGGCCTTGGGGCTGGGTGGCCACGCTTGGCCTTAAGGGTGACTGAGGCAGCGCGACTCGCTGACCATCAGCCCCTTGGGGACGTGTTCGACTCCTGCCCGTGAGTCAGCCAGAGGCTCTCTCGAGCGATGGGCGAACCCCGGCACTCCGCAGGCCCCTGGTGATCGCGCCCCGGGTGGTTTCGACATCGTTTCATTCCACTGGAGACTTGTTTGGAAAAGTGCGAAGTGCTGAGAAGTGAAGCGTGGCTGACCCCCAAGTAACCCTGATTCCGGAGGCGTCACACGCAAGCCTTCACT